CTAATACTCTAATGAGAGTTAGTTGACATGTAGTTGCAAAGTTGCTTATAGTCAATAGACTAAAGGGGACCATCAAAATAAAATGTAATCTAATAAAAAAAAAAACACGTTGCATTTTTTCATTTGAAAGTATTACAACTGATCTTAAACTAGCTCACAGCTAAATTGATATTAACCTCACAGGAAACATTCAAAAGAACACTCAACCACTCCTAACCACTCACAAGATGTAGTAAAATACTGTCCAGATCTTAAATAAACAATGTCAAGATAATCCATTATAAATTAAGTGGATTTATTATGGTATTCATTGTGTGTTATACGTAATATCTTGTCATACTCTTAAAAGTTATAACCACAAATGCGTATTATAATGTATTATAAATGTTATGATTATTTATGAGATGATACGATGGAAAAGGGGGGCTTTTTTATGATGTTGTATTATGTGTTATTGCAAAAATGAGTATATACAGTATATAAATATGCATTCTTGAATCATTCTTGAGTCTTGTGTCTTGCCTCTCTACAAACTTTGAAATATCTGGCTCTGATTTAGTGACTGCAGATGCTGATTTCATTTGATTCCATCTTTATTATACCTGACAATGAGCTAGTTAAACTTAAGGGGGGCTAATCAATATACAGTATATTTCAAGAAACTAAGACTTAAGGTACTCCACTTTTTCAGTTGTTTAAAATCAAAAATCACAATTGAAATAAAAAAAAATGTTCCTGAGATTCAATATCTTTAACAACATGTACAAACATTACTACAAATTAAACCACGAGGGTCCTAGAAATGCGGTCCTGAAACTGCAGCCTCCGCTATATTATCCAATTCGGTAGGTGGCGCTGTTACAAAAGAATAGGGTCCTAGAACTGTGGTCCTGAAACTGCAGCCTCCGGTTGTGCAGGAACACCCTTCTCCAGTGAACAGAGCCAGTGTGCGACAGCGCATGTGCGGACATTGCTTTACTCCTCCACTCCGGTTTGCAAAGTAAAGCAGAGGTTAGAGATTTATAAGTGCATATTTTAAAATATGTACATATATAAAATATATATATTTTCTCACACACATACACAAATGGAAAAATATAAACAAATCGAGCCAAACGAATGGAAAAACTATGGAGAAATATAAAACTGTTGATTTAAAGAATCATTTTGTATATAGAATATAATTCTTTCGGCATTATTTGTTTGTTTCTATTCTGTGATTGGTGGTTTTTTTTTTTTTTTTTTTTTAATATTTT